AAGTAAGACAATTCACATAAAGCTCTCTGCATAGTGCTTGGGACATAAAATGGGTGCTGTAATTTTTTATAGTATACATATCAGTGAAATGATTATGCTAGAAATCAGGAAATAAACAACTAAATGCATCCATTAAAACTATCCAAGAATACTACCAGTAAAAGAATGAGTAGAGATAGTTACCATAAAGACAAATGCTATTCTAACAGTTGGCCTCTTCTTGCTGCTTCCTAAATACCCAGAATGGGGATGAGTACTTGGTCTGACATGTCATCTACCATGACTATGGCACCCCAAAACAGCCCTGATTCCTGATATTAGTTTTCTATAGCTGTTTCACAAATTATTACAAACTTAGCAACTGAAAACAACACAAATTTATTATCTCACAGTTTCACAGCATGACTGGATACTCTTCCTATGCTGAAACGAAGTTATTGGCCAGGGCTGTGGTTCTTGTTTCTCGTAGGGCATTCTTCCAAGTTCACGGGTCACTGGCAACAATCCATTTCCTTGCAGTTACAGAACTGAGGTCTTTATTTCCCTTCTGTCAGCTGTGGACTACTCTCAGCAACTTCAGGCAGCCTGCAGCTCCTTGTCATGAGGCCCCCATGTTTGCCAACTTTCAGGCCAGCACACAACTTCTGGAGCACTGAATCTTCTTCATGCTTATAATCTCTGACTATTCCAATCTCTAACTTCCAAACCAATATTTAATGGGTTCATGATTAATCTATTTGGATAATCTCCCTATTTTATGATCAACTGATCCTGCACACATCTGCAAAATCCCTTCATAGCAGCACCTAGAATCGTGTTTGGTTGGATAACTGCAAGGTGTGTATCTATCAAGAGGGTGGGGATATTGGAGACAATCTTAAGTTCTTGTCTATCACATACTTGAAGCATGTGCAAGTTCAATCACAGGCCTGAGCAGTGACTTTTAGTAGCACTGCTGCACTTAACATCTGCCCCTTTGGCTATTTCTCTATACTCCATTTATATTTGAATGACAAGTTGAATACCTCAAAGGCCAAGATACACGCATTTTATAAGAGTGACATATTTTTGCCCTGTGCTCTTAGGATACCTTTGAATAATGTGTAGTTATGAGTCTTCACCCCTAACCCTATATCCCTAATGTGTATATAATCACTGAGTCAAGGCAAGGATTTATCTGTCGTTTAAAATAAAAACAAACAAAAAAGCAGTTTTTCAACTAAAATTGCTTGCTATCCTTTTTTTAAGCTAGAAAAGTGTCAGTTTGATCAATGTAGTCCTGGCAATAAATCAGTTGAGGCCAAGCCTGGTTTAAAGGGGTACTTGAACATATACTTGCCCTGAATATATTTAAGAGCAATATATTTTATGTTGTCAAATCAACTAGCTTCTTTCAGGAGGTCCCTACTTCAGACACAGCCAGGCTGAGAAACCAGGAATAAAAAGGAGCAAGGAACAAATGCTAAATTGCAATTGGAGGTGAAGTGCAAATCATGGCTGAGATGCTGAACTTATAGGGGGGCCATGAGAAACACCTGTCTCTATAAATGGTCTTGGCCAGGTAAAACTTAAGAACCCTTTCTGAGACCAATCTGAATTTGGGACACTCCAACCCTGATAGCAACAGCTGTCACAATTGGCCAAGGGTAAAAAAAGTTTCCTGCCTGCTATCCCCACTTGACCTCTCCACAGTCCATGAGGGTGTATTGATATTTAGGTCTTTTAGTATATTCACAGACTAGCCAATCCAATACACAGAATTTATTTATCATCTTGAGATACCAAAGGTTATACTAGGGACATATGTAAAAGCTGAACTAACAGATATCTTGGACACTGGTAATGCCTGTGTTTACATGTATGTTCACATTTTGGTTTCTGTGTCCCAAGAAAAGTGCAAGTAAGTGCATTTTAAATTATTCATTTTTGTACTTTTTCTCTTCTTCTTTGCTAAAGGTAATTATAAGCTCCTTAAACTCATTTTCAAGCTATAAATGGGTTCTAAAGTAGATAAATTATGAGTAAGCTGGCTTTCTTACATGACAATTATAATCCATTAATTCTTTTTTATTATTGTTAGGCAATCATTGAGTGCAAAGAATTAGATTACACTAATTGCATTTGTTAGGTAAAGTCCCTCTTATAATTGTGTCCTGCCTCCAAGAGGTGTGTCATGTACCATGACCCCTCACCGGTCTCCCTACTTGCCCACCCCCTACCATGTACTAGGTCATCAATTGTCCTTGTATCAAGATTGAGTACATTGGATTCTTGCTTCTATTCTTCTGATGTTTTACTAAGAAGAATGTGTTTCAACTCCATCCAGATCAATACAAAAGATGTAAAGTCTCCCTCTTTTTAAGTGACTGGATAGTATTCCATGGTATACACATACCACACCTTGTTAATCCATTCCTGGATTGGTGGGCATTTGGGTTATTTCCACAGTTTCGCAATTGTCAACTGAGCTGCAATAAACCATCTAGTGCAAATGTCCTTATGATAAAATATATATATTTTTTTCCTTCTGGGTAGATGCCCAGTAATGTGATTGCAGGACCAAATGGGAGATCTGGTTTGAATTCTTTGAGCAAGCCTATTTATCTTGCTCATCCTCAACAAAAGGGAAGATAAGAAGGGCACTGAGTACAGTTTCTGTATGGAAAGACAAAGGTAATGTTTCTTGCCTCTGCAACATCTGTTTGAATGAAGTTCAAACTGAACCAGAAAACTATGATTTCCTGCTTAGCACTGGCAGAAACAAAATTTTGGAATATAGTTTAAAAAAACCCAAAACTTTTAACTACAGATTCTACCTTTTCTTTTGCTTATTTCTCCTTTATGGACATGGTGGAACAATGTTTTGCTCATACCCAGTTAAACTGTTCCATGTTGGGGGAACCAAACACAATCTGGCAATATAGCTGGTGAGCAGGGAGGTTTATTTGGAAAAAGTTATTGTTTGCTTACAGGTTTATTCCTATAAAATTCTGAGAAAAATGGTTAAAATGTTATTATAATACAGGTAATCTGAACAACATGGATTGGAACTGCACAGGTCCACTTAGACATGGATTTTCTTCAGTCTCTGCCCACCCCTCTCCTTCATCCTCCTCAGCCTATACAACATGGGAGGAAGCACACCTTTATGATGACCCACTTCCATTCAATGTGTAGCAAATACATTCTCATCCTTTTAATTATCCTCAGTAACCTAGAGAGAAAATGGTATTAAGATCACAAGAGAGAACTAATACATATTGTGTTTTTTAATATAATGTATAATACATCTAACACACAAAAATACATTAACCAACCATTTATATAGCTGGGAAGGCTTCTGAACAATGGTATACTACGAGTAAGGTTTTTGGGGTGTCAATAATACTTGAATTTTCAACTGATTATTACCCTGAACTTCTCCCTTGTTCACAGATCAAATGTATATATAAATGTAAGAGTTATTGTTTACTAGATCAGACCAAGGCCAATTAAGTTAGGTTTATGTGGTTTTAGCTTAACATTAAGAACATGTTCAGACTAAAGCAGTCCATCAACAGCCTGCCTTTGTAGGGAGGAACTTGTCCTTGTATTTTATGAGAAAGATGACCACATGTGACCTGCTTTAGGTCATTTGTAATTCCTGGTATTTTCCAATTTAAAACTTCTATATTCATTAACATCACATAAGTAAACTGTGCATTTTATATAAATAAAATCTTGTTGCCTACTTTAGGTTGTTTACTTTTCTCAATGGCATATATATGGTATCTCCCTATCTATATATATCACCGTCCATATTTGAACACTGCTGTAAATAAGAAAGTCTGTCATCCATGAGGCTTAATTGACTTAGGCATTTCTACACACTATTATTAAAAGGAACAATCTTAAAGGTAGTACTTTTTGAACATGTCACTCAAAACTTTCACACTATGATTAGCTGCTGAATTTAAGAGGGTCATTTGGCTTTAAAAAATGACAACATACATCTTTACAGAGAAGCCATATTTGGGGAGAAAAACACTGATAGAAAGTACATACTTCTCTTAAAAATGATCTAATTTTGAGTCTTTATCTCAAAAGCATTGCATTTCATCACAGAAACATTTCTGGTAAGTGCAGGAAAAACCCCAAAGGCCATCTTTTTTAATTAAAGGTTTTGAATTTCTCTCAAATATTTGGGATTTAAGCCTTTTATTGTATGCTGAATTTTACGATCATCTAATTGTTTCATAAAGGTTACCCTTGCCTTAGAACCATCCTGGATCTAAAGACTAGAATAAGAACAGAAAAGTACAAATTCTAGGTTCATCAATTAACGCTTAATGATCTTGGGAAAATCACTTGGGCTCTCTTTTTTGTTTTTTAAGGTTTGCCACCAAAGAAAGAACCTCAGACTAGGGGTAAACTCCTCGTAAGTTGATAGACTTGAAACTGCCTCGAAAAGTATGAGCATTGGACTGCACCTGCAGCTCAAAAGAGTAGGGCGCCGGCCCCATGTACTGGAGGTGGTGGGTTCAAACCTGGCCAAAAACTGCACACAAAAAAACATAAGTATGAGCATTGTACAGATATCAAGTTTCATGTACTTCTATACTGGATGGTGCTCACCCACGGTTAGGTTGGTAATAAGCACTGATCCAATTATGAGAGAATTAAAAAATATTTAAAATAATGAAATAAAATAACTCACTTTCCCATTAGTTTATCATTTCCTCTATTGAAACATTTTTAAAAATTATATAATAATGACATATAATTACTAAACATGTTATGTTTATATAACATAAGTATGCAGTAATATGATACAGTAACTATTTATACATGTTTAAATAATTAAACTTTGTATTTAAATATAACGTGAACTCTACTCTCCTTCCCAAGACAAGACACAAAACCTGTTTACTTCTCTGAAGGATTTATTGGAGCTTGTAAAACCTGAGTAGGCCGTGAATATGCACAAAGAATGACAATCCGTGATTGTGTTTTCAGTCTTGTAGTATCCACACTATTGAAGTCTGTCATATCCAAGTGTCTGTCCAGAACATCCATAAACCCCAAGCTTGCTTCTGTGTGTCACAGAGACAGGGATGAGAGAAGACAAATCCACAGCAGTTCTTTCACGGAGTTGGGTAGGACTTTCCTTTGGGATCTGTCAGCACAACTACACCCCAGCAGATAAGGCCTAGAGAGGGGAAAAAAAAAAAAAGCAACATATTACATGATGTATTTTAGTTTACCAAGTGTTTCACATATGGCATCTTATTAACATGCGCAACACTTCTGGCAGATATATTATCATTATATCTTTATAATAGGAAAGTGAAGCTCACAAAAGGAACAAAGTTCAGAGGGAAAAAAAGAACAACAGTAAGAACTGATTTAAAGAGCCTGGGTAAGAAGGCAGGAAATCTGAAACCTAAAATTCTGTTTACTCAGAAAAGTGGTTTGAAAAGTTAAAATAATCACTCAGTACATTTTACTGGAAGACATGTCAACAAATCACTTAGTATTGCTACAGATCAGGACTGTGGGCCACATTACACAGATGCAAGAAGTAGACGTGCTTTTAAGCCACATCTACAAGAAATGTGTCCCATTTCTTAAACCAAGGTCAAGTGTCCCCTCTCCCAGGCATTCTCCAGGACTTGGAGAAAAAGTGTGGGCTTTGGGCCAGAGAAACCAGGCATCAAGTTACTGTCACTTCCTAACTGCCTTTGAGCACATCATTTTTGCCTCAATTTGCTCAGCAGTAAAACTGCAACACTATAATCACTCCTACCTCTAATAGCTACTGCGAGGATTAAAAAACAGAGCCCAGTAAGAGTTCTCAAGAAATACCGTTATTATTTTGTTCCAACTTCTCTTCCCCTCACCCTTTGAGGTCCCCACCAATTGACCAGCGCCAGCAACACCTCCCACCCTCACGTGGCTGCTCCCCGTTTCCCTCGTCCCGCCCCACCCCCGACTCTCACTGATGCCGATGACCATCTGCGTGATAGCCCCAGGACCCGGGGGGTATCCCAGCTTCATGGGCCTCCGGGCCACCAAGTACACGTACCCGCCCGCCCCCATCAGCCCCAGCCCAGACAGCACGCGACAACTCCAGCAGTTTTTAAATAGCGGGGGTTGCTCCGGAGAGGTCGGCGCTCCGGGAGTAGCTGGGAGGGCAGGCTTGGGTAGGGAGGCGGTTTCGGGAGGTGTAGGGAATTTGAAGGGCTCAAAAGATTGGGACAAGGAAGAACCCATGCTTTGACTCCCAGCCGAAACCTCAGAAGTCTTTGGTTCAAAATGACGTAAAGAACAGCCGGAAAGCACAGCGCCGAAAAGAAGCACAGCGCCGGAAAGCACAACGCCGGAAGGCAGAGCTCCTTAGGGCCGCTGGGAAATGAAGTTCCTGCCTGCTTAAGACGAGAACCAGAAGGAGGCTGGCCTACTGTGATGGATTTCTCCAGTAACAGCTTTGGAGGAGGCTAGTTTCGCTCTGTCCCCTCTCCCCATGGTTTTAGGAATGATGTATTAGCTCTCTAAATGTTTCACTTTTCAGTCTCATTAGAGAAGTCTGGATTCTTAAATTTCCTGTCTAATACAAACTGTGAGACCTTGGGCATGCTATTTTCCTAGGTATGTGAATTGGGGGTTAAGTTTAATATGTGCTTAAATATTTACTAGATACAGGGATACCTTGGAGATATTGCAGATTGGGTTCCAGACCACCACAATAAAGTGCATATTATGATACAGTAACAATTTTTTGTTGTGGTTTTCCTAATGCAAACAAAACTGCGTTGACACTAAACTATATTAAGTGTAAAATAGAATCGTGTCTTTAAAAACAATGCGTATATCTAAATTTAAAAATACTTTGCTGCTAAACAAATGCTAGTGGCCGGGTGCAGTGGCTAACAGCTATAATCCTGGCACTTCTAGCAGTCTGGGAGGTGGATGCCAGAGGAACCCTTGAGCACAGGAGTTGGAGACCAGCCTTAGCAAAAGCCGTCCTAGCCTCTACTAAAAATAGAAAAACTAGCTGAACTTTGTGGTACAAGCCTGTAGTCCCAGCTACTGGAGGCTGATGCAGGAGGTTCTTAAGTCCAAGAAATTTGAGGTTGCTGTGAGCTGGGTTACCATGGCACACTACCCAGGGCAACAGAGTGAAACTCTGGCTCTAAAAGTAAATATATGTGTGTGTGTGTGTGTGTGTTGTGTGTCTATTAAATAAATGCTAGTAACCATCTGAGCCTTCAGCAAATTGTAATCTTTTTGCTGGTGGTTGCTCAAAGTTGAAGTGGCTGTGCTAATTTTTTAAAGGTACAGTAAAGTTACCTGCATTTTTGGGCTCGTTCTTTAACAACTGCTTTCTTTGTAGATTTTTTTTTTTTTTTAACAGAATCTCAAGCTGTCACCCTGGGTAGAGTGCTGTGGCATCACAGCTCACAGCAACCTCCAAATCTTGGACTTAAGCGATTCTCTTATCTCTCCCAAGTAGCTGGGACTACAGGCACCTGCCACAAGGCCTGGGTATTTTTTTGGTTGCAGTTGTCATTGTTGCTCAGCAGACCTGGGCTGGGTTCAAACCCGCCACCTAGGTGTATGTGGCTGGTGCCCATGCCAACTGAGCTATGAGTGCTGCCTTTGTAGAACTTTTTTAAAAAATTGGAATCAATCTTCTCAAATTCTGCTTTTGTTTTAACATCTAAATTTATGTATTATTCTAAATATTTTATTATCATTTCAATAGTGTTCACAGCATCTTATCAGGAATAGGTTCCATTTCAAAAAACCATTTCCTTTGCTTATCTATAAGAAACAACTTGACTTCTTAGCCATGCACAAAGTCACATCTTCAGACTTCATTTCTAATTCTACTTATGCTGCTATTTCTACCACATCTGCAGTTACTTCCTCCACTCAAATTTTGAGCCCCCAAGTCATCCATAAGAGTTAATATCAGTTTCCTACCAACACCTGCTAATGTTGATATTTTGACCTCCTCCCATGTGTCACAAATGTTCTTATTGGCATCCAGGATGCTGATTCCTCTCCAGAAAGTTTTCTTCTTCTTCTTATTCTTTTTTTGTTTTGTTTTGTTTTGTTGAGCAGTCCCAGACAAGGTTCAAACTTGCCCCTGGTGTGCAGGGTTGGTACTCTAACCATTGAACTATAGCATCCAGTCCCAATTCCATTGGGTTTTCAATTTACTTGGCTGGATCCATCAGAGGAAAGACTATCTTATTTAACCCTCTATGGCACTATAGCTTTACAAATGAATTTCTTAAATAATAAAACTTGAAAGTCAAAATTACTTTTAATTTGGGTGGTGCCTGTTGCTCAGTGAGTAGGGTGCTGTCCTCATATACCAAGGGTGGCCGGTTCGAACCCTGCCCCAGCCAACTGCAAAAAAATAGCCAGGCATTGTGGTGGGTGCCTGTAGTACCAGCTACTCAGGAGGCTGAGGCAAGAGAATCGCCTAAGCCCAAGAGCTGGAGGTTGCGGTAAGCTGTGATGCCACAGCACTCTACCAAGAGCGATAAAGTGAGACTCTGTCTCTAAAAAAAAAAAGAAAAAACACCAAAATTGCTTTTAATCCAGGGCTGCGGAATGAATGTTGTGTTAGCAGAAATGAAAACAACATTGATCTCCCTGTACATCTCCATCAGAGCTCTAGAGTCATCAGATGCATTGCCAATCAGCCGTAATATTTTTAAAGACTTTACTTTTTTTTTCTGATCAGTAGGTCTCAACAGTAGACTTCAAGTATTCTGTAAACCATTCTGTAAACAGATGTGTTATTATCCCATGGTTTTTTGTTTTTTTTTTCCATTTACAGAGTATAGGCAAAGTATATCCAGCATAATTCTTAAGGGCTTTAGAATTTCCAGAATGGTAAATGAATATTGGCTTCAACTTGAACTTGCCAGCTGCATTCAAATCTAAGAAAAGAGTCAGCCTGTCCTTTGAAATTTTGAAGCTTTGAAGCCAACCCTTGCCTTCTCACCTCTAGCTATGAAAATCCTAGCTAGCATCTTCTTCCAATAGTAGTCTGCCTATATTGAAAACTATGTTTTTTAGTGTAGCTGCTATCATCATGATCTTAGCTATATCTTTTGGATAATTTCATGCAGCTTTTATGTTAGCACTTGGTGGCTCATTTTATACCTTTATGTTATGGAATTGGCTTCTTTCCTTAAACTTCATAAACCAACTTCTGCTATCAAGCTTTTCTTCTGCAGCTTCTTCATCTAAAGTAAGATTTGGACTAGGTAGTTTTTAATATTCTTTCCTGATTGAAAATCCTGTTGTTTATTAGTAATCTCTTTTCAGGTAGCACTGTGACAAGTACCATAGCAAATGAATTCAATATTATTTTACTTACAAATTCATAATTTATGGTTATTGCTTTTTATTGTCTGATATAAAATTTTATAGTGTATACAGTTTCTTCTTATTTATGTAGGAGAAATCTCATCATTTGCCAGTGGTTAACAAGCATTTTGATTATACATTTTATATATAAAAAAGATTGAGCACACGCCAGCATTTATCCATATTTATTTATTATTTATAAATGATATATTTATATGCTACCATATATAACAAGGTAAAATAATAGAACTGGAACTTTTAATGTTTTCTCATATCACAATATATAGGCTCATGTATCTCCATGGATACCAGCGTTATTTGACATGTGATTTTATTCATATTTTTTCTAAAATCTTACCTTCTGTAGAGTGCATATTATAGTTAAGAATGCCAGGAAAGAACATCTTTAATTTTTCAAACAAGCAAATATTATTAAAATATCCAGTCATACAATTTCCAAACAACAGGCAAGATTTTATTTTAATTTTTGTTTCTTTAAAGTACCTTCCAAAAGAAATGTTTGTTCTCTTATGATTATCTCAAATGAACTATTTCAAATTATTTTGTTATTTTATTGTGATATCTCTCCAAAATTCAACAATGGATTCTATAAAAGCCATATCCTAAAATTAACTATACATGGCACATGTTGAAATTGAGATGAACTAACAACTTGGAAAATTATTGGAAGTGGAAGTGTTAAGACACCTCTTGAGATAAATTAAACAGAAATAACTAAGAATAAGACAAGAGGCCAATTAAAGCAAGCAAAACTATAACCGGAGGAAGACTGCATTCAGGGGGAAAGAAATAGAAAAAGGAGACCGGAGGGTAACTTCACTCCCTTTTCTTTTTTATTGTATTTATATCTTTCACTACTTATTATCTCTGTAGTTCACTTCGGCATATATAACTCACAAAATCTTATGACCTTTCCTATTTATCTATAAATATAAAAAGTGCAAAAGTTACATGGGTCATTATTAAAGTTTTGAGACAGGCTGTGTTATAGTCCATTATTTCCCTTCCAAGAAATGCAGTCAACAATGTCCTCTCCGATTCACCCCTGCAGGTTTCAACCTGCTCAGTATATTGATGTTGCTGCAGGAGCTGTGTTTGTTTTCATTTGTGTGGATTTTATGTTTCATGAGTTTGTATATCTCAAGACTTTCATAATGACCCACATATTGTAAAAAGAGTAAATATATATTAAAAGTGTTCTTCCCCCAGCCACCAATTCTCCTTCCTTAACAACTGTTACCAGTTTCTTATGTATCTTTGTAGAGATTTTTTGGTATATGTGTGTATTCTTTCTTCTACTGATTTTAGAGGTCATTGCATTATCGATCAAAAAATAAAGAACTTTTTCATGCTGTTGTGTGGCTTTATAGTATTCCATTTTATAAGTGTACTGTTATTAATTTTAAGTGGCCTCATATTGGTGGACATTAATGGACATTTAGATGTTTTGATTCTTTTGTTATTACAGATAGTATCACAATAAATAATTTTGTATATACATCATATCATAAACATATGAGTATATCTTAGAATATGATTTATTCTAGGGATATGGTATTTATAAAGTTGGTGGATGGTACCAAATTGCCCTCCATAGAAGTTGTACTAATTTATATTCTTACCAGTAAGTATGAGAAGGCCTGTTTCCCTGGCCCACCTTATTCCACAAAACAGTGAATTATTGAACTTTTTTTTTCTTTTTTCTTTCTTTCTTTCTTTCTTTCTTTTTTTTTTTTTTTTTTTTTTTTTTTTTT